GCTGATTAACTATTCTCCCTCAAAATCAAAAAGTAGCAGGGCAGGGGAAGCAATTTCTATTTTGAAATATGGTAGGTGACAAACCACTCAGCTCAGGTGAAATATATGCATGGATTTGGGTTGTCAGGACATTAGCTGTGCTTACTGAAGCTCTTGTGGTGCCTGTGTCACATCGCTGGGGCCCAGGGACTGGTTAACTTGTGTCTGCATGTTACTGTGGCTCAAAGAAAGTGCCATAAGCTCTAGGAGACGTAGAGATTTAAAATGCCTCCTGTGGGCCGGCTGAGGGGCTCAGTTGGTTAAGAGTTAGCTTAAGAGCGCGAGCTCTGAGCAACAGGACCACCGGTTCGATTCCCACATGGGAGAGTGACGCTGCGCCCGAGCTGAGCTGCCAACAGGTGGCAAGATGGCTCAGATGGTGAGAGCACATGCTCTTAACAACAAGGTTGTCTGTCCGAGATGGTGGGCTACGCCTGCCCACAACTAAGACTGAACTCAGCACCTTGAGCTGAGCTGCCGCCCAGATGGCTTAGTGAATAGAGTGTGCGCTCTTAACAACGAGGCTGCTGGTTTGACTCCCACATGGGATGGTAACACAGCACCTTGAACTTAGAGGCCACAAGCTGCCGACGGGCAGTGAGACTGGTGCCCTCCACAACTAAGATTGAAGAACAACAATTTGGTTGGTCCCCTTCCCCAATTCCCCAACACTGTCCCCCTCCCCCAATTCCCCAATTAAAAAAAAAATGTCTCCTGCTTTGGTTCTATTACCACACAGATTATGACACTGCTTCTCAGAATGCCTGTCAAAAGCCTCCCAGAGAATGAGACATTCCTTCCTGTGAGATGTGTTCTCAGAGGCAATGGCTTGTGCCCGGAAGCCTTAAGGGCCCATCACTAAGAGGCAGAGATATCCTATTTCCTTCCCTCAGAGCCGCATGCAAAGTTGCCCACTCAGGAACTCACAAAACTCTTACTTCCCAAGGTATTATCTCTTTGATCTCATTACTCCAATGAGCATCACTGCAAACTTTACATGGCAAGTGACACTGCCAATTCGGAGATGCTCGATGATCCCACTCAAAACAGCAGTGGAGGGGCGGCTGGTTAGCTCAGGTGGTTAGAGCGCAGGCTCATAACACCAAGGTTGCCGGTTCGATCCCCACATGGGCCACTGAGATGCGCCCTCCACAACTAGACTGAAACAACTACTTGACTTAGAGCTGATGGGTCCTGGAAAAACACAGTTCCCCAATTAAAACAAAAACAACAACAACAAAATAGTGGAAGCTGGCCAACCCTGTCCCCTTTTGCCATTAAATAGTCTTCCTTGTTCCAGACCTGCCCTTCTACATTTTTGCCCAGCCCACTGCTGAGCTTGACCCAGTGCAGCTCTCCCACATACTTATACTCCAGGGGCAGCAACATAATGTATACACATTTAGTTACAACTATATTTGTAGCAAAAAATGGCATTAAAATGTTGCCATATACAATATACTTTAAGGAAGTTAAATTATAGGCATGAAGGATTACTGGATGGCGGTAAAGCATGGAGAGAAATAGGAAAAGAAGCCGACAAAGAGATTTATTTCTATTCAGAATAATGGCAGGTGATAAATAAATCAGCTCTGGTGTTAACACTTCTTTGGAATTCCTATTCTTGAGTTTCAGGGCTTTAGTTGGGTTTGCTTGAGCTCCTGTTGCTCTCTCCCTTTCCATCTGTTGGGCGCCACTGTTTGGTTATCTATGCCTGGATGTCACCATGTCCCAGAGAAAGGGCCACAAGCCCTAGGAGGGAAAGACATTCAGAGGACGTACATTAGCATCTGTACTTTTCTGAGCGAGCCACCACAGTGAGGCCCTTCACACTGCAGCCACTCTTAGCCCCCCTCTAGCTCGGATGAACCACCGAGGCTCTTCCACACGTTCACAGTGAGAGGCCCTGGAGGTGCTGCTCCTGTAACAGCAATGCGACTCCCATCCCGCCAGGTGGCTTCCTGTCCCCCTTTTCGTCTGAGCTGAGACAACGCCACTGCCCAGGCTCAGGGCCTCCACAGCACCTGGGCTGGCTTCTGCTGGCTCCTGTCTCCCTGCCGTTGCTCTGTGATGTGTTTTTCTCTATCACCTGCCTTCTTGCCCTTTAACAGCAAGAGTAGTTTTTATTTTCCTGGGTCCGTAGTATCTATAGTGCCTGGCCCAGGGCTCTGAACGCATTTGCTAAATGGATGGATGAAGAACATAACTCCTTTGTTCATATTTTCCTGCTTGTTCTTCAGCCTACTCATATTTCAGGTAAATTGACAATTCATTAAAAAACCCACCTAAAACAAGTTTTGCTACTTCAAAACTGTCACATGTGTTGATGGTTCAGTTTAAAATTCGTGTCTCTAATAAGTTTGTACTTTGGGGTTTTTTCTTCTCTTCTAATAGAATCATATATACCATTATTATCAGATACCATTCTATTTCAAATTCTGACTTTTCTGACACATATTCCAATTAATATCACCAATACCAACTGGAGGTCTTTTCACACAACAGAATAAATTCTCAAATTCATTTGTATTTGTAAATATGCCATCAAAATGGAAACTATAAATATTTTGAAATCAACATGCATAGTCTATTTCATATTATTTTAAAATTCTTTCCTTGTTCATTTCTAAATGTCCATATACCTTGTTCTGTGTTCCTAGTTAGTTTTATGCTGTTTAAGGTGAGGGATTTTTCTTTTGTTTCTTTGTAACTACTTAGATTTTTTTGGGTAGTCTCAGCTCACCATAGTATTCAAACACATTTGGGAAACCATATATTACAAGAAGGGACAGACCCCCAAATAGACCTTCCATTTGGACTAAATGTAACTAAATGTAACCAACCAGATACTGAAGGCAATGTGCTCTAATGGTTAAGAGCTCTCACTGGCAAGGCTGGGATTCCAAAATGACATTACAACTTCTCAAAGTATAGCTGTTACTTATTTTTGTAAAGTGCTTTCCGTTCCTTGAGAGAGAAGAACATCCAAGGAAGTAGGAGGCTTTACTGAATCACGGGATGTAATGTTTCACTGGCTTGATGTGGTCTTATTTGTTCCAAGTCAGTGAGATATTCTAACTAATTATAGTTCTTATGGCTCAAAATCAAGATGTTAACAGCCATGTCAACATCTAAGAGAAATCAGAAGGCAAATACAATCATATGATAAAATCTAAAATGTCATGTCACTTTCTGAGATAACCTATGCTTCTCTTTATTATCCTTTTTGTTTCATGGGAAGTGTGGGAAGAGTTAGATTTTTTTGTTTTTAAATTATCTGACTGAATTTGGGTATTTACCAACAGGCTATTATATGTCATTCATCCACTCCAACAACAGATGACTTAAAAATTATGTGAGTGTGCAGAAAAAGCCATAGATATGTGACTGAGGTTGTTTTATCCTTCATATTAACTTTGTCCATGAACTTTTGAATACATTAATTACCTTTGAATATGTGAAATTATTTAGTAAAAATGGATTTCAAAGAATTAGTCTCTAGAGAAGTGTTTTAAAACACAGTTACTTTCTTTAAGTAGTACCAGGAAACATCCAGTAGGGAGACGTGATTGATAACTTTGACTAAGTCAAAAAGTAACAAACCTCAATAAATGTTACCCATCACTGTCTTCTCTACCTTTTTCACACTTCAAGGAATGCCCTCTAGTTTTAGTGTTTGAGGACTGATGAATTTTTCCCTCAGCTAATCCATACTCTTTCGTGATGTTTATAAATTTATAAAAGTAAATACCCTGTTGGCCTTTACCTTTCTACACTGAAAAACCAAATGCCAGCTCCTGCCCCAAACCTTCCAGACTCCCTAGCTGGAAATTCTCTCTTGAAAGCTTAGGCCACTTTGCAGCATCACTTACAGCCTGGAACCATGGCTCATTTATGTAGCTATTTCTTACCCCCACTAGACAGGAGCCCCTGGAGAGCAGGGTTCCTGTGTAAATCAACACACCAGTTGCAGTGTGGCAGGGGCTCAATAAATATTGGCTGGCTGAGGAGCCCGGCTGTGCTTCTCTTCAATCTCACTGGCCATGAGACCTTTCTCAGGTCTCTCCCTTTCCTGGGATGCACAAATGAAAGTGACTTTGTGCTGTCCTGGGTGGAAATGCTCTATAGTTTTGAACAAGGGTGAGATCATTTTAGCTATTTCTGATACTGCTCTTTGTTGGCTATTTTTCAAACTTCATGAGTACGCCATGCTTCAGGGTTGAGAAGCCCACAGAGACTTAATGAACAAACCCTTTCCTGAACTTCACTGATGGCTCAGAGCACAGAGCCTAGACAGCATTCTTCTAAACGCACTACCCAGCAGCACCACTTACTCTGGGGCTCAGGGCAAGCCATCTAACCTCTGTGTGTTTTAGTTTTCTCATCTATAAAGTGAAGATGATAACAGAGCCTATACTCCATAGGGTTGAGTGTTAGTTTATCAAGTGCTTAATAAAGGTTAGCTACCTTTAGGTTAACATCCCATAATTACCTCGATTTTGATAGGGATTTTCTTGTAAAGCGTATTCAAAGGCATGTTTAAATGGTAACAAATCATGTCTACTGATTTACAACTATTACTTATCCATAACTTCAAAGAATGCTTTAGTCAACTCCAGTTTTAATGATCTAGTTTTTTTCATAAAGCCCAAAGATTAAAGTCTTTAGGACTCACAGCCCAAAAGTAGTAAATGGATAACCCCTTGTTATTGTGTTATACAAAATGTTATATTGCAAATATAAAATTGTAAGTGCCTGGCGGTTAGGTCTCAATCATAAAGATCCACGTTATAATACACACAGCATAAGATACTTTGCAAAACTGTCATGCTCTGGTGTTTTAAAAGGTGTAAATAAAATAATAAAATGTGCGGGCTGCTTATAGTCTCTTCATCCTCTGGGCCCTTGCTCCTCCCCCACCCACACACAAGCATTTCAGGAGATGCAGGCAGAGCCCTCACTCGTTCTTACCTCTCCGTCGGCCACGGCAGAATAGTTCACTTGGGCAACAGTGACTGTGGTTGGCAATTCGGAAGCATCAGCCAACGTGGCCACCGTTGCCCCTGTACCAACCTAAAGAAAAACATGGAAAGTGAGACGCATCTACGAACGGGTCCTTCTACTGCTCCTTTACGCGGAAGATCCGGTTAATCCCCAGTTCAGCACAGATGATGATTAACACGCTTTGTAATGTGAGATGAGTTACTAAATTCATATCTCAGACACTAACCTGAGTTTCATAGTTTTATTTCAACCAAATAAATCAATACTAGAAGCCATCCCATTTCACCACCTGTGCCCAGTGTCAACCAACTTTCTCCTCTTACCTCAGTCTGAATGTTAGAGGTTCCCCATCTAGAAACAAACTGCGTTTTTCCTCAGAAGAGGTAATTCAGAAGGAATATTTCCTGGCCACTAACAGAGTGAAATGGTAAAAAAGAAGCCATTTTTATAGCGCTCTGTTTTGGAAGTGTCCAGAAAAGCTATCTACAGCTCTGTATTTTAGCAAAATGCAAATAATTAAAAATATTATTAGAAAGTCAAGTTTAGGTAGGAAGATCTTGGGGAATGATATGAAGTTCATACAAGAGTTTGCATAAAGAAACCTTTCTCCAGTCTGAGGTGAGGTGCGCACAGACCCACCTGAGAAGCCACAACCTGATCACGATAAGGTTTACTCACCTGGATAAGTGAGACGGTGCCATCAGGGTTACTGAAGGTCTGGACCACTGTCTGTGATGGTACGAGATGGGCTATACTGTGCGTGGTTGTGGCCTGTGTTTGTGTTTGCTGATCTTCAAAAGCGTATAAAAGGTCCTCCCGCCCATGCTGTTTGTAACAGTTTTTAACTATGGTCCGTAGTGCTTGGGTCCATGAAACCTGTCACCAAAAGACCAGAAAAACACATAAAGTCACAAAAAAATGTGGGCTATTCATTCTCACTATGGAATAAGTGGCTGCTTATTTATCAAACCAAACCTTGTATACAGTAAACTCTCTTAGGATTACTTCCCATAGACCAATTCTGGTACAAAGAAACTCAGCACCAAGTACCAAAGATTTCCCACTGGTTTCCTTCCCAATCAAACTCTGGTTTAGCTGTTGGGTTTTATACTCTATTCTCACCTCATGCCAACTCTTAACCTTCTCACAAAAGAAGGTTAGTCTTTTATATATTAAGAATTTTATATTAAGATTCTCAGTAAATTTCCAAGCTAACTGAAAAGAAGTATGCAGACAAATAGGGATGACGGCTAGTTTAGTCTGTCTTCTTTTTTATCAGCAGACCTGGCCGACTTCACATCTAATTTCATATTTATATTTTTCAGCAGTGATTCTTGCTTATGAGAAATAAGGTCATTTCTAAGTCTTCGAAGTGATTAATACTTCTACTTCAAGTTTCTTCGGTTTTCCCAAGCACCTCATAAAATTAAAAATGCTCCGAAAGGCAACTGTGCAGAGAAGTGTAAATTCATGGACCCATCTGGAGTCTTTACAGTGATGGCATGATGAATGGGGAAGGCCGTAAGTCAGAGAATATCAAACCTCTTTTAGGGGCCAGGTGTAACTATTACATGAACGTTTTTAGACTTTTAGCATAAGAAGTGGAAGGACAAAAATTGATGAGTTGATTCAGAACTGAAAAGCAACAGGCAACTCAGACCGAAGGGCACTCACCCTCTGTTTTTGCTCTTCTGTGCGGACATCACTCCGGACATTTGCCCACGGGATATCCTCAGGCCACCAGATGGGCTTGCAGCTTTCTTTGCCCCAGCCTGGTTTTCCCCGACCCGTGGAGTACTTGAGCATCTCTGGAATAAATGCCCGAAGCTGGGCCTGGAAGACAAGGGTGGTTATCAGTGACCGTGAGACACACCTGGGATGTGTTTGCATCTCCTGCCAAATTCTAAAGCTACCACAGAAAGCCTTCCCGGAGGGCCTGGAGAGCTCCAAAATGCGACTGGTAAGAATCCATTGTTTTCGGGGGCCAGCCGAGTGGTGCGATGGTTAAGAACTGGCTTGGGATGCCAGAGGGCCCCGGTTCGGATCCCACATATGAGGGCCAGTTACACTGCCCTCCAAAAAAATAATAAATAAATAAAAAAGAATCCATTGTTTTCCATATGTTAGTAGAACTCTGCGGGGACTGAGAATTACACATACTGCGTTTCCCCGAAAATAAGACCTAACTGGAAAATGAGCTAGGGCATGATTTTTCAGGATGCTTGTAATAGAAGCCCTACCCCAAACATAAGCCCCAGTTAAGATCATCAGCCAGACATGACTGTTTGAATAAATGTAGAATTTTGTACATGAATAAATGTAGATCATTGGAGCAAAAATTAATATAAGACCCGGTTCTTATTTTTGGGGAAACACGGTATGCTGGTAAAGTAAACCTTAAGCTGTATCTCATAGGCTTGTTCCTGTAAGATCAAGAACACTTGCCCCCAAGTTTGATTTCTGCCCTAACATACTACTGATGCTACAGCTTATGTCCCTTCTATAGCTTCCACGCACTTAAGGTATCCAAGTCATCATGTTTTCAACATTATTCTGGAGGTAGTAACCAGTGCAATCAGATAAGAGGCGAGGAGCAGGCAAATCATCATTATTTGTAGATGGCATGACCGTGTACCTGGAAAACCCCAGAGAATCAAATGAAAGACTACTCTAAAAATAAGAGAATTCAGTAAGGTGGCTGGTTACAAAACATATGAAAATAAACAGGCTTTACTTAGGAAAAGGGAAAAGAACCCTAAAACTCTTCTAGAAAGTTTCGAGTAAGCTAAGCCAATGTTGATGAGCCTGACAGACAGATATAGTGAAGCATGTGGTAAAGGCCTTAATCACATTATGGACTTCACTCAGGTTCATTTTACAAATCGAACCTAGAGCAAACAGGTGTTAAACCATACAGACAACTGCAATCCTTTATCTCCTGGCGCAGTCACTACACATGTGTGTATGCTGGGGGAAAGGGGGTGCCCACTTTGTGAATATTCTTAATTGCTGACCATGATTTTCGGCAAGAGACGCAGTTTATCAAGTTATAATCCTCCTCCCCAGACCTCCTGCTTTCCTTATAACCTGGTCTGCCACACTCCAGAGACAAGCTGTATCCCTCATCTAAGGACATATCAATACTGCCTGTATGGCTTCAGACCAAAAGGAGAGAGCAATTTTAGCAAAGGGTCAGACCCAAGGGCATGGGCTGTAGCTGTAACATAGAAAGGAAAAAAGCAGAAATGGGAATACTAAAGTATTCATGAGTGATGAGTGCAGCAACACGTTTATATGGGAGAGCCTATTGAAATATCAGGTGTTCTTATTTAAATATTATTTTACCAGAAGATAATATAAATTATAGTATAATAGGGAATCATGCACCCAAATCAGTCATGTTTACCTGATAAAGAAAGCTGTGGCTGACAGTGTTTACATCATTAATGCTTGTGCCGAGCCTGCCATTTTCCCCTCTCTAAGTCCTCCCACTCCTAGACAGTCTCCTCCCTACAGGATATGATTTAATACACTCCGTATATATTTGGCTCTGCAGCACCAAGCAGCAGGCTAATAGAAACGGATCCATTTGCAAACCCGGGCTATCAGCTGGCTCATGAGGTCACTCTTTCAGTTATTTTAAGAAAGTGCATCTCAAAGTCATTTTTCCCTTCATCCTGGCTTCCTGGGAATGTATCTTTTTCTAGCCTCAGATATGCAGAGAAGGAAAAGGCTTTAATCCTCACGCACAATATTTACGTTTCTCCATATAAAAAAACAATGGCTTTCTCTGATGCATAAACAAAATAAACCGATACCACAGATTTTTATAAGTCTCGCCTTTCTTTTAATCCCAGTAACAGTCTCCAAAAGGAGAGTTCTTTATATCCATACCTAGTACAGCCTGGAGATAATAAAACAAGAAGGCTAAATGTCTCTAAATGAACAGAAGACTAAGTGTCCAGAAAGACTCTCTGTAGCGAACACCTGGCTGAGTGAGTGTGCTCAAATCCTACCTGGAGCCCCATATACTCTCTATTCTCATGATTTTCTCAGCTTCTGATCCCCCACCCTTTGCACCAATAGTTCCCCACGCTCCTCAGTCTGGGTCACCCTGGCACCTGGCTGACACCTTTTTCCTCCTCAGTCTTGCTTTGGCCCTTCTCACACCAGGATTTCCACTGGGTGTCAAGAACTTGTGGGTTACTTGACGTGTGGGCACAGAACCAGCCTACTCACTTATCCACTTCCCTTTCTTGAAAAATTGTCTTTCCAACAGCTTTGTCTTTGCCAGTAGAACCCCACCTCCTTTCCTCAGACACCCAAACTCAGAACCTCAGCTTTACCGCTTTCTTTCAACACCCATCGAGCCACTCACTGCAAGTTCAATTCTTTCTTCTTTGAAATGTCTGTGATATCCATCCCTTCTCCTCTGATCCCATCTTCATCCCTTCCTAGCCCAAGGCTAGTGTATCCTTCTAGCGGCCTTTCTTGTAGAATTCCAAGTTCTCCCTGTCTCTTCCTCACCCCACACGTCCTTGACAGACTGGGTCCCTAAATGTTACATAGCTCCAGTGCTCAAAACCCTTCCAGTGGCCTTTCCCTAGTAACAGCTAAACTAGATTCCTCTGTCCAGCTTTTCCAGCCCACCCCAATTTGGCTTCCCACTTCCTCCAGTTCCCACTAATTCCCACCAGGCCACGTTGGTCCTCATTAGGCAAGTCTCTACACTGTCTTACGGACTGCTGACTGAGCTCATCACTGCTTCTGTGCCTTTTGATTTGCTCCCCTTTCTGGAGTACTTTCTCATGCTACTATTCCAGCACCACGGCTCAGTCCTTAATGCCCAGCAAGTCCTACATTCTTCGTGAAATATATCTTGACTACTTCTTGAGTCAGCTTTCTGGATACATCAATAAGAACACGAGCGCTAGACTCAAAGGGTTGGCTCTGAACCTCAACTCTCTCTGCATCATAATTTTCTCAACTGTAAAATAGTAATGATAATGGCAAACAGGCAGGGTCAGCTGAGAAGATCAGAGGCACTGAATTAATAGCATGTTTATTATTACTTCGGTCATCAGCCATCTTTTCAAATTCAAAGAAATAGCCAACTTTCTGAAAAGGGTTTTCTAATATTAAACATATGATGATATACAAAAATACATTTATCCTTAGTTTTTCAGGTTGGATATAGTGGAAAAAGGTAGAAGGATGCAAAAGAGTTAAGTTGATATGTATCTGTGTACATGTGGTTGAGGCTGACAAATAAAGAATGCTAGAATCCAGAAGGAACAAAATGACCATCTAGGCCAATTCCTTGCCTTGAGGAAGCAATCTATTACCAACACACCTCCATGCATGGGTAGTTTAGGTGATTTCTTTTACTGGATCTTCGAGCATTAAAAAAAAAGTGTATAAGTGGATTACTAATGGAACTCATTAGAAAACTGGACTCAAGTGTAACCATAATTAGAGGAAAGAGAGAACTATGAAACCTCTCAAAGATGTTTTATGTGGTACAAATCTCTAGATGGGGGGCCAGCCGATGGCTTGTTGGTTAAGAGTTGGCTTGGGACGCCAGCTCTGAGCAGCAGGGCCCCAGTTTGGATCCCACATGAGGGCCAGTGACACTGCCCTCTACAGCTAAGATGNAGGGGAGAGGAGGGGAGGAAAAGGAAGAGAGGGAAGAGAGGGGAAAGGAAAAAGCACTGGCAATAACAGACTCATAAACTGCTTCCTCTCTTTATGCCTCAATTTTTTAGTGTCACCTGTATTGTCCCATTTCATTGTTGAGCAAAATAAAAATTCTAGGTTCACTAACTTTCTCTAAGTGAAGAACTGGTAAGAAAAGGCATGTTCAGGTTATTCAAAAGTTAATGCAGGTAGCATCTATTGTATAATTACTATTAATAATACCTTTGTGTGATGCCTTAGTTTTCAAAGTGCTTTCCCATACAATACCTCATTTTTTCTTCCTCTGACTCCGTAAGGTAGGAGGGCAGTTATTATTCTCACTCTCAGAAGATGAAACTAAGACCCAGGGCTAATATGTAGTAGAACTGAGACTAAAGACTAGATCTTCCAACTCTAATAAACCATGCTAACTTTCTAATTTGTAGAGAATTCAATAGAACACATAAAATTAGAACATTTAATTTAATTTACTTTCTTCGGATGATTCAGAGCTCATCTTAGAATTGTATATAGAATTATATTTGTAAATTAGGGTCCTCAATGTAAACATCAGTCATCTCCACATCATTCAGCGCAGACAAGATGATTAACAGAGCTGTCTGGGTAACCGAAGTCCATCTCTATTACAGTGCACTTCTACAATTCTGGAATTTCATCATTTTCAAGTCACGAATTACCCATATGGTCTGAATGCTAGAATTAGTGTCCAATTAAACTTACTCTGTCATTAATGGCTAGAGACCATATCTATTTCTGCTTCTTTGACTATAAAATAGGAATTATATATATATAGTAATACCTTGGTTTGCGAGCATAATTCATTCAGGAAACAAACTACTTGTATTGCAAGACATCGCTTGTTTACCACTTTAAAATGCATTAGAAATTTTGCTCATCTTGCAGAACACTCACAGACCAAGTTACTCGCAATCCAAGGTTTTACTGTACTCTGGAGGGCAAGGATTAAATGAGATACCCCTGTACAAAACTTAGCAGCATGCCTTCCAACACATAATAGCTTTAGAAGAGAAAAATAAGAAGGAAAAAGAAAGAATTGCTGACATCTTCACCCAATCGTAAAAAAAAGTAATCTTTGGACAAAACAAAACAGAAACATCATCAAACCTGCACTTTAA